ACATTTTTAGAAAGTAATATAAATTTGTTAGAGACTATATAAAGTATAAAAAATCTGTGATATGTCTGATTTTAAAATATTACTTTTAAAATTAAAAATGAACACATATGTATTATAGGAAACTCATCAAATGCATACAAATAAAATTACTTATAATCTCACTGTTCAGAGATAATCACTGCTGGTAGTTCGTTTTGTAACAATAGGTAATTGTATTGACTTTTGAAATGGGAAATAATTAAGGATTATAGGTATATGTCTCACATAATGAAATGTATATTTTTGTACAGAGTGACTATATCACAATGTTTAAGAAAATGGGTTTGGAATCCCAGCACTCATGAGGCTGAGGCAGGAGGATTGCCATGAGTTTGAGGCCATCCTGGGCTACATAGTGAGTTCAAGGCCAGCCCGAATTGCATAGCAAGACCATGTCTAAAAAAGTTGGGAGGGAGGGCTTGGGATCAATCTTGGGCTAAAATTTCAAATCTTCACTGTTTCAATGTATGACCTTTAGTAATTAACACCTTAGTGCTTCATTTTCCGCATATGTAACAGACACAATGATAGTACTTCATTGGATTGTTGTAGCGATCAAATGAAATCATCTGTAATATTGCCTAAGGAGTTGGAGCACATGCAAAGAGCACTGTGCTAGTATAATTGTCACATTTTCATTCACTAAACTTCACTTTCCTGTCTTCTCCATCCTACTGATTCTTTCTTCTACTTTTAAAGAATATTTGACCTTTTAAATTTCCATTTAAAGTGGAATTTTATCTTTATCCTTTTTTATCTCTAGGATGGACCTTGCCATTTCAATTTGTTTTGTCTTCTTTCTTTAAATGGAGATTGCCTGTATAGAATCCTCAGGAAAAACTACAGCTGTTAGCTATAAAAAGAAATTGTAAAGAGGGAGTAGACTGGGCCTGATCTTGATACATTTTTATTACTAACTTTAAAAAATAATAGATGTATGGGTCACTCCCTAAAACAATTAAATCAGTATCTGAGTTAAGATTATAGGCTGAATCTTGAGCATCTGTTCTTTTTGGGTTTCTGGGTAACTGTAATATGCACTCAGGTGTGACACAGAGGGTAACAACAAACTGATTCAGTCTTTGAGTTAAATTTGCAAAGGCAATAGTAGGTTTCGTGCTAGCTGAGGACAGGTGAAAGGAAGTCTGTGACATGGAATGCTCTGACTCACTTGAAGCTCCAATATAGATAAATTGGCTGATATTTATCATTTTCTATGTTTTAGGCACTGTACTTTATATTCATTACTTCATATTAACTTACAACTCTATGGCAAATGTTACTTTTTTCTCTGTTATGCTTATGGAAACAAGTGCACAAGCAATTAAGTGAAATATCTAAGATCATACAGCTAGTAAGGAAGAATTAAGTCAGATTCACTCACTGAATGCTCTTCACTCACTGCAGGCATTCCATTAATATGGACAGGGATGGTTCAGTAGATCCTAGCTAAAAGTCACAGCTTAGGGCCGTGTCCAGTGAATATTCAAAGCATAGTTGGTATGGGTGCAGTAGAATTCACGAAATTTATAGCCCACCTAGTAGAGGAATTGTATTTTATTATTTTATGTTTATTTAGTAAAATGACCAAAGATTTTGTAACCATTTTTTTTAACCACTGAGCCAAGAATTTAACTGGAGGAAAAGTGTATTTTATTTTATTGATGTACTTTTTAATCAATTAAGTTTATTGGTTACATTTTAGGTATACATAATGATCACATTCATCATTGGGAACTTGTACCTGTACATGATGTATCCTGGTTCTTCTTTTTTCCCCATTCCACTGCCCTCTCTTCCACCCCTCCACCCCTCCCTATTTACAAAGACTTTGTTTCTGTTTTCTCCTCTTCTCATATTTTTTTCTTTCCTTTCTTCCCCCCTGCCACTTTCCCTTTCCCTTTGGACCCTTTGTTCCTATTTCACATTATCTGTTATACACTTTGGTCCTCATTTACACTTTCAATTTCTCACATCAGAGAAACAATTCAGTATTTACATGAATAGGTGTATCCTACTTATTTCACTTAAGAGTATGGCCTCAATGTGCATCCATTTAGCTGGGTATTTTATATAAATGGAATCATAGAATATACATATCCTCTTGTGCCTGACTTCTCTCAGTATAACATTTTTAATGTTTGTTCTCCTTATAGCATGTATCAGCATACTTATTTTTATGACTGAATAATATCCTTTGTATTTGTATACCACTATTATTTACTCATTCATGAATGTTTAGATTTTTTTAACCTTTTGGTTATTGTGAATAGTGCTGCTGTAAATATTATTGTGCTAGTCTTTGAATGCGTCTGATCAATTCTTTTGTGAATATACCTATGAGTGGAATTTCTGGGTCATGTGTAATTCTGTCTTTTTAAGGAATTGCTGAATTGTTTTCCTTAGCAGCCAGGGCTTGCACCATTTTATATTCCTAAAAGGAATGCAGATGTTTCCAATTTCTCCAGATCTTCACTCTGGAGAAAAATTTTTAGCTATCCTAGTGGGTATGAAGTGATATTTTGTTGTTGTTTTGATTTATATTTCCCTAATAATTAAATGATATTGAATCTCTTTTATGTGTTTATTGACATCTATTTCCATGAGGAAATATCTATTCAAGTCCTTTGCTTGTAAAAAACTATTTTTTAAAAAATTGTGGTAAAGTATATATCACATGAAATTTATTATTTTAACCTCTTTGGAGATGGGGGGAGTTTGAACCCATGTACTAAGCTACATCACCAGCCCTTTTTATTTTTCGCTATAGTCAGGGTCTCACTAAGTTGCTCAGGTCAGCCTTGAACTTGTGATCTTTCTGTTTTAGGCTCCCAAGTAGCTGGGATTACAGGCTTGTGCCACCACACCTGGTTTACCCATTGTTTAAGTGTATAGTTTAATGACATTAAGTGCCTTTACAGTGTTTGCAGCCATCATCACTATCCGGCTCAAAAACTTTTCTCATCTTGCAAAACTAAAACTTTGTGCTCATTATTCAATTGCCCCACCCCAACCTCTGGCTACCACCATTCTACTTAATGTCTTTGTGATTCTGACTACTCTAAGTACCTCCTGTAGGTGGAATCATACAGTTTTGGTCTTGGTTTACTTCTCTTAGTATAATATCTTTAGAATATTTATAATGTGCTTCCTTTTTAAGGCTGTAATATCTATCTATCTATCTATCTAGATATAATCACATTCTTTTCTTTTTTTGGGGGGGTTAACTATGCTTTTTTTTTTGCTTAAATTCTTTTATTGGTATATTGTAGGTATACAATACGTTTACATTTATCATTGGGTGCTTGTACGTGTACATGATATATCTTGGTTCTTTTTTTTTAATTAAATTCTTTTATTGGTACATTGTAGGTAAACAACACAATTACATTTCTCACTGGGAATTGTATCTTTACATAATGCATCTTGGTTCTTATTTTCTCCCCATTCCTAGACCTTCCGTTCACCCCCTCCACCCTTCCCTATTTACAAAGACTTTATTTCCATTTTTTCCACTTCTCATCATTTTTCCTTTCCCTTCTTTCCTTTCCCCTGCCCCTCCCACTACCCCTACCCTTTTGGACCTTTTCTTCCTATTTTGCATTATCGATTATTCATTCTAATCATTGGTACATTTTAGGTATACAATATAATGACATTCATCATTGGAAATTTGCACCTTTACATAGTCTCTCTTGGTTCTTATTTTTCACCCTTGCCCATCCCTCCCTTCAACTCCTCCATTCCTCCCTATTTACACAGATTTTGTTCCTATTTTTCCATTTTCTCATATTAACCCCATTCCCTTCTATCCTTTCCTCTAGCCCTCCCACTTCCTTCCCCTTTGCCCCTTTTCTTCCGATTTCACATTACCTATTATACATTTTAGTCCTTATTTACACTTTCAGTTTCTCACACCAGAGAAACTATTTGGTATTTATACATGTGTGTCCTATTTATTTCACTTAAGAGTATCACCTCAATGTGCATCCACTTAGCTATAAATGTCTCTAATTTCTCATTTTTTATGGCTGAGTAGTACTCCATTTTATAAAAAAACCCCACATTTTCTTTATCCAGTCTCCAGTTGATGGGCCTTTGGGCTGTTTCCAAGTTTTAGCTATTACAAACTGTGCTGCTATGAACATGGGCACACATATATCACTGTGGTATGATTCTTTTAATTCTTTGGGTAGATCCCCAGCAGTGGAATAGTGGGGTCAAATGGGACTTCCAGTCCTAGTTCTTTGAGGTATCTCCATACTGATTTCCACAGTGGTTACACCAGTCTACACTCCCACCAGCAGTGGAGTAGGGTTCCTCCTTCCCCACAGCCCCGCCAGCATTTGTTATTGGTTGACTTCATGATAGGAGCCATTCTTTCTGGAGTGAAGTAGAATCTCAGCGTTGTTTTCATTTACATCTCTCAAATGACCAGTGGTGTTGAACATTTTTTCATGTATTTATTTGCTATTTCTACTTCTTTGTCTGAGAAATGTCTGTTCATTTCAGATGCCCATTTTTGGATTGGGTCTTTAAATTTGGGAGGTCTGATCTTTTTAAGTTCTTTTTAGATTCGAGATAGTAGACCTTCGTCTGAGGAAGAGCAGGTGAAGATTTTTTCCCACATTGTGGTTTGTCTCTTCACACTGCTGGTGGTTTCTCTTGCTGTGCAGAAGCCTTTTAATAAGAAGAGATCCCACTTGTTGATTGTTTATGCTAGTTCACGGGCAACTGAGGTTTTGTTCATAAAATCTTTTCCTACACCAATGTCTTCAAGG